GTTTTTGTCTCGCGGCTAGCCCCTGACCTCACATCCAATGATGTGACCGCTTTTATACAAAGCAAAATAAAAGCCGTCGGCTTAAAGGTGGAAAAATTTAACTTTTCTTACGCCAGGGAGATATCTTCCTTCAAGATAAGCGTCTCCCAAACTCAATTTGAAACCATTTGTTCCGCCAAGTTTTGGCCAGAGCATTTGGTGGTTAAAGAGTTTAAGGCTAAGAAAAAGAATAGGCCCCCCATTACTCTTCCTAGCATTCAGACCAGTGCTCCATCTCTATCCTCATCTTCCACCTCTACTTCCACCCATCCAAAAAACTAACTTCCTCTCTTGTAGTTACCTACCAGAATGCTAGAGGCTTGCGTAGTAAGCTCAGCACTCTTTTCCTTGAGAGTCTCGCATTCTCATCCCACGTTATTGTGTTCACCGAGACCTGGTTAAAGCCGGACATCCTTAGTTCCGAAGTTTTGGCAGGTCGGTACACAATTTTTAGAAATGACCGTTCGTCTCGACGTGGAGGTGGGGTCCTTATTGCAGTGGACTCAAATTTCACGTCGGAACATTTCATGGTCCAGGTTCAACAAGACCTGGAATTCCTGTGCGTAAAACTGATTCTCCCAGGCTTTTCCATTTCATTACTTGCTCGTATATTCCACCTTCCTCGGATATCTTAATATACGAGCATCACCTGACCGCTTTAAAAACTGTTTCTTCCTCGCTATCAGATAAAGACCATATGATAGTTCTTGGTGATTTTAATTTGCCAGGTGCTGTTTGGTCTTCGGTAAACGAGTCTAATAACCTTGTGCCCATGTCACGACATGACTTTATCGACGGCTTGCTAGACCTATCCCTGTCTCAAGTCAACCATGTGAAAAATTCCTTGGGTCGATTGCTTGATCTGTGCTTTGTCTCGGATCCGACCATAGCGTTGTTAACCCGAGCCCTTCCGCTCAGTATACCTGAAGACTCCTACCATCCTACATTCGAAGTGTCAGTCGATATTGGCCCTACTGTATTGGATCGAATGAGTAGGCTATCCGAACGTGTCCGCTGCTTTCGTAAAGCCGAGTTTACGAAGCTTAATAACCTTATTAGGGATTTTGATTGGTCCGCTCTGTACTTGTGCACTGACGTTATGAAAGGCACACACATTTTTTACAATGTACTTGACACATTTTTTGATTCTTGTGTCCCACTTTCTTGTCCGGTTAGATCTGGAAAGCCTACTTGGTTTACCAAGGAGTTATCCAGTCTAAAAAATTTAAAATCAAGACTTTATAAAAAATTTCGAGAAGTTGGTTCTCCCTCTTCTCTTCTCACTATGTAATAGCTCGGTCAAATTTCTCCGTTCTTAACGCTCAATGCTATAAGAACTACCTATCTCGATGCAGGATACGATTTTCACAGGACCCTAAACAGTTTTACAGCTTCGTAAATAGTAAGCGTAGAACGTCCGTACATCCATCCTCGTTATCTTTTCTCAATATGTCAGCAAACAATGATCAGGCAATTGCCAAATTTTTCCAAACAACCTATTCTCATGAAAGCTACTCTGGTCAGCCGTATCCATACAGTTTACCAAGGTCGAATGGCATCTTCAGCCCTTGTTAAATGAAAGCTCACTGCTTCATGATCTTCGACTAGTTAAGCCGGTGTTTTCACCAGGTCCCGACGGAGTTCCCGGCTGTGTACTCAGGTACTGTTCCGACGCTCTGTGTGGACCCTTGCTTAAACTATTCACCCTATCTATTAACTCTTCATGCTTCCCCCCCATCTGGAAGGAATCTTTTATTATTCCGCTCCATAAGAAAGGTAGCAAGTCTGATGCAAATAATTATAGGGGTATATCTAAGTTATCCGCTATTCCTAAAATGTTTGAAAACATTTTAACTCCGCACTTGCAACATCTCTGCAAATCACTTATATCTCCGTCCCAGCACGGATTTATAAGGCGACGATCAACAACCACAAATTTATTAGAGTTTACCTCTTTTATCATTAAAGGCTTTCAAGGTAACTTGCAGACGGATGTCATTTACACTGATTTTAGTAAAGCATTTGATTCTGTAAACCATTCCCTTTTAGCACAAAAACTTGACCTTTTAGGGTTTCCGCCTAATCTTTTGAGATGGATTTCTAGCTACCTTTGTTCTAGGTCTCAAAGAGTCCTCTTCAAAAACTCCTTCTCTTCACCTGTTAAGGTTACTTCTGGAGTACCACAGGGCAGCCATCTAGGCCCCCTACTATTCACATCTTTATTAATGATCTGCCTTCAGTATTAACAAACTCTCGAGTACTCATGTATGCGGATGATGTTAAACTTTGTGTCCAGTATAAGGACATTTTATTTCACTCTCGCTTGCAATCCGATCTCAATAACTTTCAATCATGGTGTTGTGCAAATATGTTACACCTAAATGCCTCGAAATGCAAAGTAATGACATTTCATCGCTCCAGCCCCCTATTGGCTCCTTATAGCCTCTGCGGTGGTTCTCTTGAGAGAATTACCTTGGTTGATGATCTTGGTGTTAAATTAGACCCAAAGTTGAAGTTTTCTGAACACATTTCTACCATGGTAAATAAGGCCATGGGTGTGCTTGGGTTTATAAAGAGGTGGTCAAAGGAATTTGACGACCCCGATATAACGAATACTCTCTATATCTCGCTTGTTCGTCCGATTTTTGAATACGGCTCTTGTGTATGGTGCCCCCAGTACAAAGTACACCAGGACCGTATAGAATCAGTCCAGAAAAACTTTTTACTTTTTGCTCTGCGTGGCCTTAACTGGGATGCAGGTGTGAGACTGCCATCTTATCCTCGTAGATTGCTTTTAATAAACCTTCCAACCTTAGTTAGTCGTAGAAAAATGCTTGGTGTGATTTTTATGCACAACCTGATCAAGGGTGATGTAGATAGCCCTGACTTGTTGAGGCGCATAAACTTTACGATTCCTATTAGATCTACTAGAAACTTCATTCCTCTTTTCCTTCCGCTTTGTAGATCGAATTATTCCTTGCACGAACCATTTAGGGTACTTTGCTCGGACTTCAATTCCCTTTACCACATAATATCAACTACTAATTCCCTTCCTCTTCTTAAATCACTAATACTAACATACCTTTCCCGTAATTAGTTATATTTTTTAGCTATCTTTGCATGCTTAGCTCTTTGAGTTGTGTTTAGCTCTAATTTTCCTCGAATTTTAGTCTAACACCTATCTTTCCAGCATGCTCGCGATCGGTTCGGTAACACGCGTCGCGCGTCATGCGGCAGCGCCCCTCGGTCGGTTGGGCGGGAGGAGGGCTGCGTTTCTGCCTGGGTTCCGCGCGTAACAGGCTTCGGCTTGGTGTCGCATGGGCCACTTGATGGTGCAGTCATTGCATATCAACGTCCAGATACAATATAAGCGATGACATAGTAAGCGAGCATCAACCGAAGGTAAGGCCTTAATAAGTGATGAGTTTCCCCAATAAAGTAAGGCCTAATCGTGGGTAAATTCTGTTTTAAAATATTAAATTTCTTTTGTTTATTGTTTTCATATAAAAATGTAGATTGACATTTTTGTTCTGTGTGTTCTTTTTATCCACAGAACCTTTTTGTTTTGTAGATGTGCTCATGTTCTTAAGGCCGTCGTGATCATTCCGGGCACTTCAACTGAATCGCCTCTGAAATAAGATGGGTTAAAATATTTCTATTCGAAATTTCTAAAATCTGTTCAGTTTGTTAATGTGATCTCAGTAGATCACCTATGGTAGATCAGCAGTGCATTTGCACCAAAAACAAAACACCCGCCAAAATATGTATATGCTCGACTCGAGCCACGAATTTAGGGTTGTTGGAAATGAAAAATTTCGTGCAAAACGCATATAATTTCGCAATTTCACATTTTCTTTATTTTTTTCAACGCACAATAGACGTATTTTTTTTAATGATACACTGCACTTACCTGATAATAATTTTGCCCAAAATAACAAAACCTGCATATCACATTTCACCGCACGATTCTAACAACGTTGTCGACGCCGACGGCACCACCGAATTCTGTTACGACACGCGTTGAAACAGAAAGAAAAGAAAGCAACAGATAGAAAAAAATATTTGGTTTGGTCGATTTCATATTCTGCTCAGCTGCCGCAGCGGCAGAGAAACAAATCCTGAATGACGCGTAGTAGACATTTGTCATCGCTCACTTCTGGTAACAAAACACTAGGCAACAAAATTTAATTATTTTTTCCGCTATGAACCAAAACCAATTTTTCTAATAGATTTGGGGCCTTAAAAATTTTTAAGGAATTATGGTTTTTTTTGTCATGGTTTATTTTCATTTTTTAACTGAACCTTTAGTTTCGGCTTCGGCCCAACGTCCGAAATAGGATCAAAGCAAACAAAACGGACTTGCAATTTTGGTTCTACCGAATAGTTTTTGTGTTTTTTTCTATCCGCTCATCGAAAGACGACTTACAGTAAGTGAGTTGGAAAAAATACTTTTATCTTATAAAGAGTCACTAAACAATCTAAAATTACCGATTTCTATAATAAACCAAAAGAGCCATCACAAAAAAACATGTTGACTAATTAAAAATGAATTTGAATAATAAAACAATTTGTTTGCCTACATGCCTGAATTTTAGGAACGTAACCCCTTATTTTGTACTGAATCCATATATCCGTTTAACACGCTTCGCTTAACACGAGATTTTTCAGGAACGTAAACCCCGTGTTAAGCGAGGGCCAGGTGTATATTATAACCCCACCCGAGCTCCAATCGACTTTGCGGACTCCTTAAAATGAATCTGTAAAGCGGCAAGGTTTTTTAATTTGAAAAATTCATCTTGTTTATGTTTTTAGAGGTTGTGTTGTTTTTCAATAACATCAAACAATTTTCGGCTCCGCTTTTCAGAATTGAAAAGTTTATTACACCCAGATGTAACATGGAAAGTTTTTCAAACTGATTACCCTGTCACGGAATTATCAAATAAAAAATATTCAATAAATACCTTGGTAAAGCCAATCAGGAACACCATTATAGATATTGTTTTCACATCCTGATGTCGTTATTCTAATATCCTCTTCAGTTAATGGGGATTGTCGTAAAAATATATCATTGGCTGCTACAAATATTATTGTTGTCGTATTACCGAGCCATGCTGCATATTGAAGGCGCGTTCTTTGAACCTTCAATGAGTCTTTTAATTTGACTGGCATGTGATGATCGTTTTCAACATCATAAATTGTGTAAAATGCAGTAAACGACTTCTGAAAAGTCTAAATCCAATTTATATTTAATTATAGGCGTAACAATGTAATCATTTGAAATTAATTGCTTACTTTCTTTACATTATGTTTAAATAACACATATTTAAGATCATGGGAGCATTGATATCCACGTACATTCAATTGTCGAAGAGTGTGATTTGTTACTAAGATGTTTATTAAGTTCGTTGTTGTATCCAAAATGGCAAGCCCTCCATCATCAGCTTGAAATACATACTTTTGAGGTGTTACCCATGACGGCTGTAATCTAGTTGGTGTCAATTCTCCTTGTAAGTATTCATCTAAAATCATTCTGCGGCCTGACCAATATAAGAGTTCATCCACATATCTAGAAAAACAAAACAAAAACCAGTCGAAATAGACTGATTCATACTAGTAAAAATTAAACATTAAAACTCACCCCAATAAATATATTGCAGTAATAATACCAGCTATTACAAAACTAATCACGAGCAATGAAAATATTATACTCCGCCAGTTATGTCCTTCATCCAGATCTATGTCTTGATCTTTCTGCTTCGGATCTTGCACCTGTAATGTTTCATCTGGTGGTAATCTCCATGATCCACCCCCTCCTCCACGATCTGAAGTGACATTTGTGTGCATTTTTTAAATAAAAAGTCAGATCTTTAGTGACGGTGTTTTATAAACTCGATTTTGGGCAGGAAAGTCTTCAGAAATACAGATCTGTTAATCAAAAAATCGAAAAATTATGGATTATTCGATGACTTACTACATAGATTTATATATGTACATATTTACAATTTCCATTATATCAGTATATTAGTATATACATTTTTGAGCTTATGATTTTTTAGAATTTTAGAATTAAAAAAAAAAATTTTACATTTTACATTTGTTTGCTATATCTGTTATCTATATCTACATCTGCAATTTATATTCTACATCTAACATGTAGATTGTACATGTACAATTTAGATTCTACGTCTCCTCCGCTAGAAGGAGCTCGAGTACATAATGAGGCAGAGTTTGCGAGCGAGAAGGAAGGAGACAGGGGAAGCAAATGAACCTAAAAAATGAAAAAAATGTAAAAAAAAAAAATCTTTTGAAGGTTGCGGGCCCAACTGCCAATTGGGAACAAAGCAAACGAAAAAGGGTTGTACATTTGGTACCTGATCGCGATCCCAATTCCCAATTAGCAGTTGAGCCCGCAACCTTCGAAAAGGTATTTTTTGTTTATTTTTTTTTTTCATTTTTTATGTTCGGTTAACGAATGTTAGCTCCAAAGTTTCTCCATAGATTTTAATGAGCGATACCTTAAACGACGCACAGTGCTTCGTTTTCCGAAAACTCGTTGCAAAAGTCGGATATCGCGTTGTTGAATTTGGGAAAACTTTTGTTACAGTTCAATTAGGAATTGATTCAGCTATTCAAAACCAAACTTTTATAGTTTACAAAATTTTTTAAAGATTTATAATCTTTGTTCAAAGTTGGACCATTTTTATGTTTTTGAAAAAATGAAGAAAACCGTGCTTAAAAGGCAAAGGTTAATGCATTTTTCTCAAAAAGTACTCAAAATCTAAAATATGAATTTAGACAAAAAAGGAATTATTTTTTGCGATTATATTTTATTAGATTTTTTAAGAAACGCCATTTTTTTCACTATTTTAAATTTTTAGCGGAATATAAAAAAAGGACATATTTGGCCGATCATTGGACTGCACGAAAAAATAGTGGTGATATTCATCAAACAAACAAAAGAAAAAACCATAACCACAATTGCACCTTTTAGGAGATATTAATTATTTTCCATTTAAACCCACGTAGTCGGACATTAGAGAACGCAGCAACATCACAATATATTCTTTGTTTCAAATTCTTACTAGCTTACAATTACCAAACTCTTTCATATGGTATAAATGCGTAAATTTTAGATTAGCCAAGCCACGCCCCCTTGCGAAATACATATATGTATGCTTATGGACCAAAATTTGACCAAAAAAATTTTTAGCCCAGCCTAATTTTCCTTGTTTCCAAAAGGGCAACCATTTCAGAGGAATATACTTATTTTAAGTCCGGAACGGTTCTCATCCGGGAAGCTAACAGTAAGTTGAACAAATCTTCCTTTTGTCGCTTTTTTTATGAACTATAGGTGTAAGCCATTTTTTTTTATTTTTTATGTCTGGACGTTGATATGCAATGACTGCACCATCAAGTGGCCCATGCGACACCAAGCCGAAGCCTGTTACGCGCGGACCCCAGGCAGAAACGCAGCCCTCCTACCGCCCAACCTACCGAGGGGCGCTGCCTCATGACGCGCGACGCGTGTCACCGAACCGATCGCGAGCATGTAGGAAAGATAGGTGTTAGACTAAAATTCGAGGAAAATTAGAGCTAAACATGCAAAGATAGCTAAGAAATAGAACTAATTACAGGAAAGGTATTAGTGATTTAAGAAGAGGAAGGGAATAAGTTGTGGATATTATGTGGTAGAGGGAATTGAAGTCCGAGCAAAGGACCCTAAATGGTTCGTGCAAGGAATAATTCGATCTACAACGAATCGTAAAGTTTATGCGGCTCAACAAGTCAGGGCTATCTACGTCACCCTGGATCAGGTTGTGCATAAAAATCACACCAAGCATTTTTCTACGACTAACTAAGGTTGGAGGGTTTATTAAAAGCATTTTCTGGGAAAGCTTTTCTTTCGCAGTTTCGAAAAACATCTCTATTTCATGATTCAAAAACCTAAACAAATCGATTGTTCAATATTTTTACCTGACGTTTTTTGGACGTTAACTTTTCGTGCTTTCAGCTCAGAAAGAGCAAAATAAATAATTAAAAAAATTTTTTTTTCTGGTTTCCCAGCCTGATATTCCCCAAGAAATTCCTCAAAATAGCCATTGGAGCAAATTAACATAATTCTAAGTTTGTTTGCTATTTGCATTGCCCACTGCATATAAATATTGTTAATTAGCCTATGTCTATGCACGGCAGCGGCCGTTCTTTCGCCTCTTTATATCTCCTTCTTTATTTACTACTGCAGCTGCAGCATCTATACCATTCTCTCGCATTCTCTCTCTTTCTATCTATCGCTCGTGCTTGGTACAGCTTCTATCGCTTCTTTCGTTCTCTCTCTCGCTTGCATTAGGGCACGGTCCGCCTGCCCTCTTGACAGTCTTTAATTGATCGTCATCATTATCGCACTCACGTTATACTGTCTTGATCAATCACTCACTTCTCTCGCATATTGAACAGACCCTGCGTCTTTAATTTTCATCGCTACACCTACACACCCCATATTTTGCCTACTTAACAAATAAACTGTACACACATTTAATCTAAATTCAACAGCAAGTGAAAAAGCTCGCTAGCTCAACAATTTTTTTTTTTAATTTTACTAGTATCAATTTATCTAAAACTAAGATTTTTTTGTACAAAAATATATTTGTATGTTGTTCAATTTTATTTATATTTTTTATGATGGTTTTTAGGGTAAAAAAACGAAATTTCGAGTTTGACCGTTAATTACGCCCCTTCCAGTGATACGCCTACTTTAATTTTTCTTTAAAAAAATTATTTTAAGTATTGCAAATATATGTATTAAATTTCAGACTTATACCTAGCCAGGTTCAACGGTGTCCCGAGTTCTTATATTATATTATGTATTAATAAAGCGTCGCTTAAAGTATTGTTTATTAAAATCTATGGAGAAATGGCTGAGCTAAAATTGGTTGACCAACCCTCCGAAAATCATATTTTACCGCTTGAGACATTGCTGGCCCAACGTTTTGGTCCCTTTCATAATTTGTAATAAAAACCTGAATCTGAAGATATAGCGAAGCAATTTTCCTTATTTCCAAACAGACAACCATTTCAGAGGAATATACTTATTTTAAGTCCGGAACGGCTCTCATCCGGGAAGCTAACAGTAAGTTGAACAAATCTTCCTTTTATCGCTTTTTTTTTATGAACTATGGGTGTTAGCCATTTGCTGGGAAAGCTTTTCTTTCGCAGTTTCGAAAAACATCTCTATTTCATGATTCAAAAACCAAAACAAATCGATTGTTCAATATTTTTACTTGACGTTTTTTGGACGTTTACTCTTCGTGCTATCAGCTCAGAAAGTGCAAAATAAATAATTTAAAAAAAAATTTCGTCTGGTTTCCCAGCCTGATATTCCCCAAGAAATTCCTCAAAATAACCAGTGGAGCAAATAAACGTAATTCTAAGTTTGTTTGCCATTTGCATTGCCCACTGCATATAAATATTGTTAATTAGCCTATGTCTATGCACGGCAGCGGCCGTTCTTTCGCCTCTTTGTATCTCCTTCTTCATTTACTACTGCAGCTGCAGCTGATCGTCATCATTATCGCACTCACGTTATACGGTCTTGATCAATCACTCACTTCTCTCGCATATTGAACAGACCCTGCGTCTTTAATTTTCATCGCTACACACACACACACTCCATATTTCGCCTACTTAACAAATAAACTGTACACACATTGAATCTAAATTCAACAGCAAGTGAAAAAGCTCGCTAGCTCAACAATTTTTTTTTTAATTTTACTAGTAGAAATTTATCTAAAACTAAGATTTGTTGTACAAAAATATATTTGTATGTTGTTCAATTTTATTTATATTTTTTATGATGGTTTTTAGGGTAAAAAAACAAAATTTCGAGTCTCTGCACCTACTCTCCCTCCCCTTGCCCTGTAGTTTCCCAGAGGTGCCGCCCGGCGACTGCCCAGGCATCCTCTGGCGATCAATGCCCATTTCCCTTCCCCCGCAGACCCATGCCTTCCAGAAGTGTCACCCGGCGCTTGCCCAGGTATCTTTGGGGGGGGTCTCTGCACCTACTCACCTTCCCCCTTGACCTGTGGTTTCCCAGAGGGGCCGCCCGGCGATTGTCCCGGCCTCTTCTGTCGATCCATACTGTTCCCCACCCCCTTGCCTAGTAGATTCCCCTTGGTGCCGCCCGGCGCCTGCCCAGGCATTCTGTGGAAGTTCTCGGCCGTTTCACCCGGCCACTCGCCCCTTGTGACTTCTCAAAGGTGCCACAGGCACCTTCAACCCCCTTCGCATGTTTCCCTTGGCCTTGGCACCCTCGAGGCGAAATCACCGTCCCATTGCCACTCAGGACTCGGAGTCCCGCCAAATTATAAATATGGCTGTAATTTCGGCCCTGGCTTGACTGAGAATTGTACCCCAGCCTAGATCGCTTCCTTACAGTATTGTTTCACTCAGATCAGATAGGACGGATCAGATCATATTTATACAGTTCATCCCAACAATCAAGAGTGTTATTATTTCCGATTGTTGCTTATAAATATTCGTGGACCAACATCATTTGAATCTTTGCGAACTATTGATGGAAAATTATGTAGGACGTAACGCGAAGCATGAGAACTATTTAATTGGCTTGAGAATGACATGCATTGTGATCTTACACTTGAAGATGCATCAAGTCATCAAGGCCATATCAAATTCGGACATTTATCGCAATTATTATAGCCACGTGCAGTCCATCAAAGCCAACGGAATTGTCGCAAAATAACAGAATCAATCATTTATCAGAGGATTTTTTACATCGATTGCGCCGTCAAACGGGTGACATAAACATGGAATATACGCCGGAAATTTACAACAAAGCATTGATCGCTATTGAAAACCTTTGTTTGATGATGGCAAGCAAAGCATTAGCTCAATTAGGTATGACAGCGCCT